TCCCTCTAAGCAGTACTTTAGTGTCATCTCACAAAGTTTTAAATATGTCTTTATTATCATTTGATTCAAAATACTTAATGTTACTCTTTTGATTTCCTCCTTTCCATGGGCTATTTTTAAATGAAGCTGGGTTCTGAGAAAAAGGACCTAATAATTGACAGTAACTTTTACAGTCAGTATAAAGAAACAGTAACTTTTACTATTTCAGGTTAAGTTATACATAATTTGAGGAATCTTCATTTTGGCCTTGGAAGAGAAATAAACGTGTTGGTCTTTCTCATCTTCTTTGAACTCACGATATCCCTATGGTTTGACACACACCATAATGATGACATTTCTAATTCTGGGGGCCAAAGGCTGTGGCAGCTATTCTGGCAGATTTTCTAAGATTGTCACCTCCTCTCAGATATTTCAATTGGCTAAATAAGTTCTGGGATTGCCTAAAATACCCAGAGTATGCAAGATTTAAAATTCCCAACAAAGAACACATTGCCCACCGAGTTCTGGCATGCTGTAGGACTCTGGATTCATTGGACTAACAGATTTCTAATTATTTCTTAGAAGGGATTACAATTGTTTTAAATCTTACCTTGTTAAAAAGTAGCTGAGACAGGGTCTCCATGTGGTATCTTTGGAAACTCATAACTTACTTCCTTTGACATAAGAACTTGGATGATTATGATTATCTAGGTTTTCACTTACAAATGACTCATTTTTTATATTGTCATATTATTTAAGGTCTTACAAAAATGTTGTTGAACATACGTTTATCTTTTCCTGATTTTATCCCATCTAGAAACATGTTCAAAATCAGATATAGAAATCAAGAATGGGTTTATTTCTGAACCTCAGTTTACATATACCTTAAATAAACAAACACAATTTAAGTGTAAACCAGGATATGTAACAGCAGATGGCAAAACATCAGGATCAATTACATGTCTGCAAAATGGATGGTCAGCTCAACCCACTTGCATTAGTAAGTAATTTATTATGTCAGTTGATATTGTACAGATGATATGCAAAAGTTCAATTTTAATCTTTTTCGAGGGGGTTGATGTTGTTTTACTTGAAAAAATTAAGAAAAGACTTTGAGCAAAAAGTATACATCATTTTTTTTCTTTTAAGTTTAATTACTAGAATATCAGTCCTTTCCGTGCAAGGTTTTATTTTTTTCTTTTTTTAACTTTAAAGCATCGTGTGATTTAGAAACTATTTAGGAAGGTTTACGTACATTCTGGTGTAAACTCATTTATTTTTAGCTTAGACCGTGATATCAATTATATATACTTGTTTTTAGGTGATGATACTTTTATGTCAACATCTTTGCTGTTAGATGTAAGATTAATGTTTTTAGTGAAGATATGGATCCATAATGCATAATCTCATAATAATTTATCCTTTATAATTTATACGCTTGACACTGTAGGATAGATAGGTCCACTTGTCAATATCCTTCCCCTTAGAAAATCTTCAGAATTGTACAGATAGTGGAGAGAGAGAAATGTTTCTAGATGGTAACAGTTTTTGCTGTGTTGAAAGATTTCCCTACCATACCATCTAGATATTTGTAAAGATTTTCTAAGAACAATTCACTCAGTTTATGTTATTTATCCCAAAGACTCTTAGTACTATTTTTGAAATGATATTTAATATGATTGCTTTAAGTGATGTAAACACCTAAATATGCATTCATACAGTTCTTGTTTTTCTTTAAATGTCTATGTTTAATATGGGTTCTAGCTTCAAAAAGATGTTACCCCTCATTGAATCTTAAATTCAGCTGATGAAAAACATAATTCCCCTCATATAAATCTCATTTTATACTAAATATACTAAATTTTGATCAATACTCATTAGAAGACTCTCTTATTATGGAAAACAATGTCATATATAATAAATTCATTGATCTTTTTATTCAATTAATTTATTTTTCTCTTTTACATATACATCATAATTACTAATGAGTCTCACATCTTAACTTACAAAGTGCTATTATGCCCTCCCATAAACAAAGTAATATACACCTACAGTGGCCCGTTTTGTTCCCAGTATTTTCATAAATGTATAAGTGTAATTTAATTGTGAAAAATGTTCTTCAAATAACTTTTTCAGAATGTTTAAATGATGAGAAAAATGCTTTCTCATCATTTCTCATCAATACTTTTCTTTCCATTTTTAGTAACTATTTCAGGACAATATTTTATCATTGGTAATCTTAGATTAATTTTATACCATACTTAATTTATTAGTATATATAGATCAATAAAGCTTAATTAATCAATACTTAATTTATTAGTATATATAAATCAATAAAATACATATAAATCAATAAATCAATAAAGCTTTTTCTTATTTGAATGTGAATTACTGAGAATGTCCATTAATTACAATAGAAATGATATTCTCAATTTTATTATATACTAGAATCTTGTGATATGCCAGTATTTAAGAATGCCAGAGCCAAAGTTAACAGGAGATGGTTTAAGCTCAATGATGTCTTGGACTACGAATGTTATGACAGATATGAGAACAGACACAAACTGACCACAGGTTCCATAAAATGTGAACACGGCGGCTGGTCTGATACACCCACGTGTTATAGTAAGTACTGTCTTTTCAGGAATTCTGTTTTCGAGATAAAAATAAATCTGTCTGTGTTCCATTTTTTTAAATTTGTGTTGTCTAGAGACATTTTTTAAGGACCAATGATTAAAATCATGGTATCTCCTGATTTAACACAAACATGGAGGAGAAGGGTGTTTGAAAGTCAAAGAAAGAAATCTATCTTTAAAATAGTACATTAAATTAATGTTTCCTATGAGCCATTTACCTCAGAGCTTTGTGAATAGAGTTTAATTCTTTTTGTTACCCAAAATGCAAGCTTTAAAATTATTTCCAACTGGGCAACTCTTACCAAAATTATTGTTGGTTACAAGTTCCTCAGCTGTTTTGTTCCTGAATTTCAGCTTTATGACTTCTACCTTGAATGTTAATTTTTGTACTTCTTGAGTGTAGCTCTTTATTTTTGAACTTTGACCAGTTCTGTGGAATAGTACATGAATCTCTTTTATGTTTGCCAATCAGCCATCTGTTTTCCATGGTTAGAAGAGGGCTTGGATCCGTGGGAAAATGAGTGTATATACAATCATCCAAGCCAAAGGAATAGTAGGTACAAAACTTTGAAATATAAACACCAATTTTCACTTAAAGAATTAGTATTTTTAATTTAAGAGAGTAATTTTATGCTTTGAATACAAAAAATGTAACATTATATTTTAGAAATGTCAGTGATTTAAACCAGATTCAGTGTATAGAAGTTGAATTTTCAAATTAATTTTTAGGACAGCTATGGTGTTGTTTAATACTATAATATTACTCAAGAGTCCCATATGAATTTAGAGACTATGTAAAACCTAATACGCAGCAATTTTTTTAAGTAAACAGGTTTATCTAATGCCCCTGTGTATGTTACTCACCTGGTATCTACCTCATTTTTACATGGCATATATAATTTTAATTTGGCAGTGATTGATTATGTATTCTCATTAAATTACTTTTTACCTTCCTTTTTAGAAAGAGAATGCAATCTTCCTAAAATACATGTACACTTAGTTCTGGATCCCAACAAAGACAGTTATAAAGTTGGAGATGTGTTGAAATTCTCTTGCAGACCAGGATTTACAAGAGTAGGACCAGATTCAGTTCAGTGTTACCACTTTGGATGGTCCCCTAACATCCCAACATGTAAAGGTGAATATTTATTTTTAAATCTCTGAAACAAGAATTAGAACTTTGAATACTAATATTTTTTCTTCTCTTAATTTTCTGTGGACTTCCAGTATCTATAATGTAATGCACTAAGTCAGAGATGTACCTGTGAAGGACATGTGTTGTGGGGTTAATACCTCATTTAAGTTAATCTCCAATTGTTTCTTGAGAAATGTGTTGGAAGTATTCAAAGATACATAGATGGTGGCTGTCTAAGTCTGTTTTGTGTTGCTATTAGGGAACATTGAGGCTGGGTATTTTATAAAAAAGTTTCAGCAGCCTTATGATTCTGACGGCTGTAGAGTTCAATATTGGGCATCTGCATCTGCTGAGGACCTCAGGCAGCTTCCACTCATCAGGGAAA